CTGCCCACCCTCCCAGGGAACAATTCCTGCCCAATATCCCATCTGGCCCCGCCCTCTGGCACTGGGAAGCCATTCCCTGTGCCCTGTCCCTCCCTCCCTTGTCCCAAGACCCAGAAGAAGGAATTTCTGTGTAAAACACAACAGATGCTGGTAGGAGAGTGAAAGGTTTAAGCAGAGAAGAAACAGGAGCTGAGCCTGTCCTGGCAAAGGCAGGCGTTTGTTGGGCAGGGAACACAGCTCTGCTGCGGGAAAGGCTGCAAGCTCCCTGAATTTGCAGGATTTCCACAGAATCCCATTCATCCCTCTACACTAGAGCCACAGAGGAGACAAAATGTACAAACAAATTAATGGTTGGAATTTGTGAAAATCAGAAAACCTCCCTTGTTCCCACAACAGTTACAGTATTTAGTAGACCACAATGGAACAGGAAAAAATCTTATATTTTCCATCTCTTCATAACAAGAAATGTCTCATTTTTATCTCCAAAATGTGGTTTACAAGGATTTGGGTATCAGACATCCTCTTCCCCTACCAGCAGCATAAAAGACCTTTACTGGGGACTGTGCTCTCAATAAGGTACAATACAAATCTCATTGGTAACTGTCAGGTCCTGCAGCTCACAGACCAGAAAGTTGAGAGAAAAACATTCAGAAAAGAAAGGTTCAAATAAAACAACCCAGAAATGGGTTCCATTCTTCACTTCCTGAAGGGCTTTTAAATTCTGGGGGTTTTAAGTATTGAATTACTGAGAATAGACCTGAGAGCCTCTTCCAGTGCCTAAAGGGGCTGAGCTGGAGCAGGGCTGGGGAAAAGGGATAGAGGAACAGGACACAGTGGGAGAATGGCTCCCACTGCTCTGCCGAGCAGGAAGTTCACATTCATTTTTAAGCAAGCAGATTTTTACTCTCTAGCTACATGTACTTAAGTGATGGACGTGATAGAATGATTAGAGAGGATTAATTCTTTTATTACAGTTATTTATTAACATTTATTCCAGTTATTTTATAACAGTTTTCATCAGTGCAAACTACTCCAAGGTGACCAAGACCAAAAATAATTTATTTTCAAGGAAAAGGTTTTCTTGCCATTGAATTAAACACTTCAGAACAGAGAGAAGGTGCTGTCACAATGTTTGACTCACCAGGTTTCTTCCCTAAACTTCCCGTTTTTCCAGCTGCTCCTGGAGCCTTGAAATGGAAAACAAGATGCAAGTTTAGCACTCAGATTTTTTTCTCCAGCACGTGAAAATTATTGACAATGCTTCACTCAACACCCTCAATAAGCATGGGAGTCAAAAACTCACAGAAAACTAAGTTCTTACAGAAATCATTAGTATTTTAGATGGCAGTAAATGTCTGGAAATAAGTACCAAGCATGCAGTGTATGATTTGTTAATGCAGAACTGGAGATTTTTATTCTACTATTTTATTTTATTTATTATTTATATTTTATTTTTATTTTATTATTTGCGGTCATAGGCTGCAAACACCAGTGTAATCCCATTTGAATGATAAATCCGTGTATGTAAAGAATGGGAATTCTGTAAAGGTGAACTGAAACAGCACCACAAGTTTTCAGCTCTAAAAATGGCTGATTGCAAATATTCCTGAAAAATCCCTGCACCCTGACAGGGTGAGGTGAGGGATGAACATCAGCATCCAGGCCAAGGGATTGGCAGGAAAAGCCTTTGAAGAGCCACAAGAAATCCAGCAAAACTTGAGATCAGTCAAGTTCTGCCTCCTAAATAATTACTGCAGTTTCCTCCCAGGCCACTGCCAGTTTTATGTCCTGCAATGAAGAGGGTTGAGGTGGCAACAGCAACTTAAATCTAAACTGTGCTGTGGCCAGAAATGTTGGGGAACCATAAATGTCCTCAACTTCACCTTCCTCATCTTCACCATCCTCTTTACAACTTGGATCCAACATCAAATGACCTGAAGGTTTCCACAGAATCCTAATTCCTCCATGGAAAAAGAGCAGTTTCCACCTCCATATTCTCCCTATCAACCTGATGCTTTGAAAACATGGGGCTTCTGGCAGAAATGAAAATGAGGAGTAACAATAGTTTAGTGGCTGAGAGAAGAGGGCCATTCAAACCCCTGTGCTGTGTTTGAGGGTACCTATAAAAATGGATTACGAGATGCATCTTAAACTTTTCCTGGTGTTTCAGAGCTCCTTTCCTGTCCCTGACAGATTATTACGGCTCCACTCCACAAGAGCAGCAAATCTTCCTCTCCTCCCTGCATTCCTTGGGTTCTCCTCAGTTCTCTGCACCCCTGGGAGCTGCATTCACAGAGCAGTGACCCAGGAAAGCCCCACACAGGGACCAGCTGCAAATCCCACTGTAGGAGGTGAAATGGGGAGGAACCACAGGACTGACAGGCTGATGGCAGAATTCCTTCTGCTCTGGGAAGTGTTTCTGGCACAGGAACTCCCCCTGCCCTCCTCAGTAAAGAGCAGTGACTGGACCTTCAACAAAAACCCTCCTCCCAAGCATCTCTTGCTCAGCATCCACGCTGCTGGATGAGCACACGGACAGGTCAAACAGGCTGGGACAGTCACCTCAGAAAGTGAGGTGAGACTTCTTTCAACCAGAAGCTTCAAAACCACCTTGACCACACTGAGTGTGAATTGTATTTGAGGATTCTGAGTCCTCAGTGAAAAAGCAGAAGAAACACATGGAGAAGTCCTACAGAACTTCAATAAAGGACTAAATTCATATATAATGCATTTAGGATKGCCCCAATTTCTGACCCATTCAGGAGATGGAGAAGCAGTTCTTACTCCTTCTGCAGAGAGGAAAGACAGCAGCGAAGACAGACCCTGTTCTGCTCCTGCACACCTCAGACTGTCACCAAACCTCGGAGGGGATCTGGTGACATGTGAGGAATTTTCCTGAACCAGCAGAGCAGAACTTGCCGTGTCACTGCAGTAAACCCCAGCAAGGACTGGCCAATTGTGCTGTTCAGCAGGACCCTTCACAACCTGATCCATTCAGGGATTATTTTCTGAACTCTATGCAAGATTTCATCCCAGAGGAGTTGGAATTGTTGTATTTCCAAGCCCCTCATGAGCTCCATCCCCACAGAGGGAACGATCACCAGTGCCCAGAATAAAACCCTGTATCCATCCACCTCCCCCTAAAGAGAACCCTGAGAATGGACTGCTATCATTGTTTCTTTTAAGAACAAAGACTTTCACACTTTTTTAATAAGCTGAAGCATGAAGGAACAGGGAATGGTTTATTTTAGCAGCCTGAGGTGAATGGGCACAGCCTGGGTACAGAAGAACAAATTAAAAAAATTCTTCTGCTGTAGAAACCATTCAGATTTTGAGTCATTTCTACACACTGCCCTTGCTGCTGAAAGATCACCTCTGTTTTTCTTTTTCTGGGCCTGTCAACAGTACAGAACACATCAAATTATTTCCATTTTCAGAACATTTCCCACCCCAGGCAGCTGTCCAAGCACAGCAGCACATCTGAGTGACCAGACAGGCAGGACTGTGAAATCCTCTGCAAAAACTGGCTCTGGACATGGGCTGGAGAGCAAAACCCCGATGGCCCGCTTGGAGCCAGATCCTGCAGGCACAGGAACCCCGGGATGAAAACAGGGAGCAAGGGCTCCACCAGCTCTGTGCTTTTTCCTCCCTCTCTCATCAAGATTTCAGCTGAAGGTGGGACTTCCACCAGCAAAAAGGGCACTTGGAGCACTTTTGGGTGAACTGCAGTGAGTTGGTGCAGCCCCAGAAGGCTGAGAACAACCACCAAACTGAGCTCTCTGGGAATTGAACACCTGAGCTCCCCACAAAGATGTACCAACAGTGTCCCAATGCCATCTCTGCCAAGGACTGCAATACTGAACATCACTACCCCAGGTTTTTAATACTGTCCCAGAGGATGTTGGGATTTCCCGACACTCCAAAAACTTCCTCCTGAAAGGTTTCCTACAGCTGTAGATTTCACTGCAGGTTTTATCCTTTGGCTTCTCCAGCAGCAGAAATGGCTTGAAGGAGTGACTCTGCCCAGGCTCTGTGTTGCAGTCTCTCACTGAATTCCTGTGCAAAAAGCTTTACCACCCAGACTCCCAAAAATCAAAAATCCAGCAATTATTATTTATTTACCTTTAACMCCCCATTACTCCAGAAAGATAAACCAGAATCCTTCTCATCAAGAGATCAGTACTGTACCCAACTCTGACTCTAAGCTAATTCCTACTAGTAGATAAATTATCCTTTCAAACAATATAAATGAGACAATATCTCTCTTTAGAATGTCTAAAAAGAAAGAAATAAAAAAAAGGGGGAAAAAAATGATGCGATCTATGGAATTATTTCAGGATAAGAAGAGATGAAACAAAACCTCTATTTTTCAGTCAAAAACTATCAAACACAGTAGGTAGTAAAGTTTTCTGTTTTATGTAAAATTTGTTCTCCTTGACTGCAAGAAAATGTCAATACAGAAAAAAACACCTTAGAGTGAAATGTTACTCTCTAGATTTTTGGTTTTTTTTTTTAAATACTGGCAGCTTTAAATAAAGAGCTCAGCTCAGTCATTACAAACTTACCAGGGCAATAAAACAGTTATGGCAGCTCTGATCAGTGTCTACAAAACTGCCATGGTGCCTATTAATGTAGGCATTATTTTAATCTATGATCCCCAAAGTTATTGATGATGCTACACGGTAAAATGCAACCATTATTTTTGTTAATTGTCATTGTTCTCTCAGTCAGTACAACTGCTTATTTCCCTTACGAAGCCCTGCCTTGCAGCTACCACTACAACCCCAAAGAAAACATTTCTCTACCTCAGAATCTTTGAGTCTCACATAATTAGATGGGAAAACTCCTGATTTATCACCCAGCGTGCCCGTCCACCAGTCACCATCTTTCTTTGTCACCAGGATCAGGTCACCTTGTTGGAAAGTGAGGTCCCCCTGCTCCGAGCTCTCGTAGGTGTACATGGCAATGTACTCTGGAAAAGGGAAATACACACAGGACATGGGAAAACTCCTGAGGAATCCCCAAGGATCCCTTGCAAAACCTAATGAATGTCATGGAATCTATTCACAGAATGACAGAAAACAAATTGATTATTTATTAATCATAAATCTCAATATTTAATGCATGCAATTGTATCTGTCAAATAGGATCGATCAAAAGGCTGCCTCAGGGGGGTTTGTATAGAATTTGCTATTACAATTAAATGTATAGAAATCATTCATTTCTATATTAGCCATGTTTGCCAGTGGTTTCTGGTTTGTGCTGACGACTAGAATTGTCAGTTTGGGAAGGAAAGTCCACATAGCTTCAAAATCACCCTCTACACTTGAGCTCTTCTTAAATCCTCTCACCAGGTGTTAAACCCCTGCTTGATTATTTCTCACAAACACAGTTGTTTTGAAGTGTTTAAACAAAAGCTGTGCTCCTTTTCAACACAACGTAACACCTGAAATATCCCACCTGTGACAAGACTCTGCATGTCCCCAAGTTCTTTCCCTCAAACAGAAGGAAAACCAGACCAAGGTGATCTTTAAGGTCCCTTCCATCCCAAACCAACCTGGGATTCTATGGAATATTTACTGAGCAAGAGCAGCTGTACTTTGAAATAATTGATTATCTCCCTTTTCTTTGCTGTCCCCTCCTTTTATTTCCTGTAGTGCTCATGGCAGAAGTAAATTAAATGTAAATGTACCTAAAACTGCCCCTAGAACTGCAGTTATAAATGTCAGGTGTGCTGCAGGGATGATACACAAATGTTCACCTGGAAGTTATATTTAGATTAATTGATTTCCTCCGCTGTGATTTAATTAACCTTTAGCTGACTCTGCTCTGGAGTGGATTAAGAGTTAAAGCAGCTCACGGGGGGATGTTCCCCTCCAGCAGAAGGGTGGCAACAGCCAGGAATTCCTTTTTTAAAAGCTTTCAGAGGCCTGAAAACGACTGGTAATTCTGTGTCTGTGCCCCAGGCTCCAGTTTTAAAAAGGAGCTGACCATAAGGATCSCAATAGTCTATAAATGACTGCCCTGCCTTAATTAAGAGCTTTAATGAAACATTGGGAATGAGCTTTGGGGGACATTGAGACATTTATCCTGACATGATGAAGACAWGGACAGATGTGCTTATTAAACTCTGTAAAAACCCATTCCAGATCAGAAATTGTTATCAAAATACTGGTAAAACATTTCAAATGTTGAAAAAAGTACAAAAGATATTATTGTGTCTTTTCTGATATGTGAAATTAGTCCTTCTATACACACAACATATATAAATTGTGACAATAATAATAATAATAATAATTCTAAATTATTCCAGAAGTGAATTGGTTTGAACTCGGATTTTAACACCACCTGAACACCAAAGTCTGATTGTTGATTCTGGCAGAATTCTTGTGTTTAATGCCAGAGTAAGATGCTCCCAGGGCTATCCAGGACTCACCTTCCCCTGACATCGTTGCCTTGGCTGCTGGGGATGCTACTCTTTTCAGACTAGCAGGACTTTCTGAGGAACCAGAATCCATGCTTTAGAAGAAAATAATGGTTATGTAAGAAATTAAATCTCTTCAGAAAAATTATTCTTATATTTCAAACTCAAAAATGCACATGCACCAGAAGAACTCCCTGTGTTTTAAAAGGAGAGACAGTAAATGTGSAAAATAAAGCTTTTATGTCCAGTGGCCTGTCATGGTTACATTTAAGCAACTGCCTTAAATAMAGAATTTTCTGCATCTCCTCTTTTTCCTCAGATAAAAAAAAATTATCTAATATCATTCTCATTTGTATCCCTACTGTTCATGTTGCCTTCACATGACACAGAATGAGATTTTAAATGTTTAATCCTCCAAGAATAATGAGAAGTGATTTAGATTTGAGGAATATTTTTTTAATTTTGGGCAGAGAGAAGATCTGACTTACACAGCTCCACTTCATCAAATCCAATACACTCATTTTTCAGTTGCAAGCCACATAAAATTAAGAAGGTTAATTAATCTTTTATTGGGGAGCCCAGACCCAAGGAGAACTGAGGTCAGTTTTTTTATTGCTGACACAGAAATTCAGGGTTGGAAGTCAAAACCCTCCAGATAATAAAAAAGGGCACTTTTACAGGGCTGAACTTTAAAATTCAAGTGTGAATCCCTTCCTATTTCCTCATCCATCCCAGTACAGAAGTAAAGGACAGGAAAAGCACACACAATACCTTGTGGACTTCCTAATGGGGCCTGAAATGAGCTTCACGTAGGATTTGGGAAACCAGCCCTTCTGGCCCTGCACCTCCCCAAACCACCACATGTCCTGCTGCTCCAGCACCGTGATGACATCGTTCTTGTTGAAGTTCAGGTGGTTGTCTTTCTTTGCTCTCCAAGGATACAGAGCCTGGGCTTGAAGCCCTTCYACTTTTTCACCCTTTAAAAAAGGCACAGAGAAGAGTCAGTCATGCTCCCCTTTCATCAGGAAAGCTGCTTCAGGAATTACATCCTTAGGCTGCTTAGACAGCAACAAATACAGACTCTCAACCAAAGCATCAATTAAACTTGCAAAGTAATTCCAGAAATGTTTACAGCCCTCCTGCATTTCTGTCTGTTAACGCATCATCAAGATTAAATTAATTACTCTTACAATTAAGATATACATGTACTAAACTCACATTAAGCTGCTCTGAAAACACTTAAAAGTCCATTTTACAGAAAATTATGCTTTGCTGCATGTTATTCATGGAACATTCCAATTTCTTTTTGCTCTGAGGTAGATATCTAGAACTTTCCAGAACATGAGTACCCAAGAACAGTTTATTGTTCCACTGAGGAAATGGAAGAGCCTGTTGGACAGAATTCAGCTGTGAAGCTCTGCCACTGCTGTTCYACTTCACCACATAATCCACTGGGTACGGAAGGTGATTGAGGGAGTCAAGGAAGCCCCAAGGAATTGACCCAAAACTGKACCAGCAAAATCTAAAAAAACCATCCCAGAACTGCAAAACAGAAACCGCTTCATGTTAAATCCTGTTCCAGATGTTGCCAATGGAATGCAGATCTGCAGAATGGCCTTGGTTGGTGGGATCTTAAAGCCCACCCAGAGCCACCCCTGCTATGGGAGGGACACCTCCCACTGTCCCAGGCTGCTCCCAGCCCCAATGTCCAGCCTGGCCTTGGGCACTCAAAGGGCAGCCACAGCTTCTCTGGGCACCCTGTGCCAGGGCCTGCCCACCCTCCCAGGGAACAATTCCTGCCCAATATCCCATCTGGCCCTGCCCTCTGGCACTGGGAAGCCATTCCCTGGCTCCTGTCCCTGCAGCCCTTGCAAATTGTCTCTCTCTATGGTTCCTGTGGGCTCCTTCAGGCCCTGCAAGGCCACAATGAGCTCAGCCCAAAGCTTCTCCTCTCCAGGCTGAACAATCCCAGCTCTCCCAGCCTTTCCTCCAAGCAGGAGGAAAGGAGCAGCTCTGCAAGGTGGGACCCTCCCTCTCCCCCTCCCAGAAGAGCTCCCCCATCTCAGGTAAGGCTCACACTTTGCTCTCCAAGCCTCTGTGCTGGCTCATAAGCTCGGGGGGAGCCCAGGAGCTCACCTGGCCCAGGACGGGGGAGGGAGATGAGCCTGTGACAGTGGCAGGAGTGAAGGCCGARCGCTGCCGGAGCTGCCCCGCGCTGGGCACAGTCAGGGATGGCTGAGCTGCCCAGGCATCCCAGTTATCGCTCTCTGGTTTCTCACTGCTGTTTGTTGGCCAACTGGGAAAAAAAAAAAAGGAAAGAAAAGTATTATGTAATTCCTACTGTCTGCAGCTGAAGAAGAAATTCATGCAGAACAAAACTTTCTACATTCTACAGTAATTTCAATGAGGATCCATGAGTGGCATCACTCCAGGGGCAGCAGAGCAATCAAACACTAGTTAAACACAACTTTATCCTCAAATGCAGCCCGCGAATGCAGCTGCTTGTCCTTGCCACTGAAGGGCAGGTTTTTACTTCATTTCTTAGCTGTGTCCCAGCAAACAGAAGTTCAAGCAGTGAGGGCTGCACTACACACAAGGGAAAATAAAATAATTAATAATTGTTCCAAAACTGGTTAGAAATCTTCCAGCCTGCATGTCACCGACCTCTCACATTCCTTTCTTTAGACTGGAATCCCAGAACGTTACAGCCCATCCAGTGCCACCCCTGCTATGGCAGGGACACTTCCCACTGTCCCAGAGAAGCTGTGGCTGCCCCTGGATCCCTAGCAGTGTCCAAGGCCAGGCTGGACATTTGAGGCTGGGAGCAGCCTGGGACAGTGGGATTCTGTGATTCCAAGAGAAGTGAACACCTTGGGATTCCCACCATGCCCACATCCCCACTCAGGGATGTCTCCTGTCCCTGCTGTGCCCAGGCAGGTGTGATGGGAGCAGCCTCAAGTTCCACAAGATGCAATTCCAACTGATTCCTACACAAAACCTTTCCCTTTGAAGGGATTTTCACTCTGCCCTCTGGCTCCTGTGCTCACTGTCTGCTCCCAAGGACTCCCCCCTCGGCCTGCTGCGCAGCACCCAAACCTACGTGGAGCTGAAGTCTGCCCAGTTGTTGGTGGGTGCAGGGCCCTCTGGAGGGGCAGGGGCTCCCAGGGGGGCGGAGGTTTCCTGCACGGACACTTTGGGAGCAGCAGAGGGCTCGGCTGCTGGCTTGGCAGAGGCTGGAACTTCACTGTCGGGAATTTTCTCGGCGTAGTTTGCAGGGAACCATCCAGTTTTCCCTTTCAGCTCTCCACCAAGCCACCCTGGCTCTCCAGTCTGGCTTTCRTCCACCTGCAGGCACAGGAAGTTGGAGAGTTAAGAATCACATCCTGCAAATGTAAATTTTGTTGAAAACAACCCATCTCCTCTATAGTAATTAACTTTYTGAAATGCAAGAGAGCTTGACAATTGTTATTTTCTTTTCTATTTCTCCCAAGCTAAAATCATGGAATAGCTGGGGTTGGAAGGGACCTCAAAGCTCATACAGTGCCACCCCTGCCATGGCAGGGACACCTCCCACTGTCCCAGGCTGCTCCCAGCCCCAATGTCCAGCCTGGCCTTGGGCACTCARAGGGATCCAGGGGCAGCCACAGCTTCTCTGGGCACCCTGTGCCAGGGCCTGCCCACCCTCCCAGGGAACAATTCCGGCCCAATATCCCATCTGGCCCTGCCCTCTGGCACTGGGAAGCCATTCCCTGGTCCCTGTCCCTGCAGCCCCTGGAAATTGTCTCTCTCCGTGGTTCCTGTGGGCTCATTCAGGCCCTGCAAGGGCCCAAYGAGATCACCCCAAAATCCAGCTGAGCAATGGGGCACAGAGGCACAATCCCAATCCCTTCCCTGCTGCCCACGCTGGGCTCAGCCTGGGCCGTGGATGGATCCCTGTCCCTGCACTCCTCAGAGGAGCTGCTGGCAGTACCTTTGCTTCAGGCCATTTGCTGGCTCTTTCTCCCCCTGCAATCTCCATCCACCCCGTTTTGGTGCAAACCCCTCCATCATCGCTGCATTTTCTGGGCCCTCCTCTCTCAGTCCCTGCCAGCCCAGGACAATCCCAACAATGAAGGCACTTTGTGCATGACAGTTCCACGGGGAGGTTTCTCAGCAGTGCAGAGCAGAATTTCAACTGCAGCAGGATGGGAGAGGGAAGGGCATRGCTGAGGGGGATCTGGGGGAAATGGATGACAGCACCCAAGAATCCAAACACGGGGCAAACACGGCCCGGGGTCACCCAGCTGCTCACTGGGGAGGAACTGCAAGGACAAACACAAAGGAAACAAACAGCACTGAAAAGGCAAACTGGGCTTGTGGAGATGCTGGAAAAAGAGCATCTTCGAGGTGAACCACAGGCACACAGAAACYACTGGGATCTTTCAGGCAAAAGGAAAAAAAATCCCAACCAAAGGGTTTTAGAGCCATCCCATTAGTGTCTCTTCTGGAGAGGGTTTTAAGCTACAATAATTCTTAAATTGCCTATGAGGATACTCAGATTTCTGCTTATTCAACCCAATTAAGTTCTCTATGTACGCTCATGAAAAGACACTTTAAAGGATAATTTAAACTTTGTAATTCAGATCAGCTCTGGTTTCTTCTTTCTAAAAACCACTGCATCTGGTTTTGCAGTGCAGTACTGGAATTTTAAATAGATTGCTTTGAAACTTTTTAAAGTTAATTTGTTCCAATTTCCCTATATTTTTACACCCACCCATCCACAAGTCCCAACAACAATCCCAGATTATTTTTTTCTGAAATACAATCCAGGTTTTAGAGGTACACCTGAATAGTGAATTACAGTGTGTGGGAGGTAATTTTTTGTTTATTCAACTGTGCTTTAGAGCCACAGCTGACAACTCCTTAGTTCTGTGGATCGCATAAAGAAGATTCATTCCAACTCCAACAACCAAAAACTAGGAAAGCTGATGAGAAACTGTCATTAGAATTTGTTGCAGATTTTTCAGGGAAGAATATCTGTTCCCACGCTAAAGCTTGGTTGAGTTTTAGCCATGATTAAATCAATCTAAACTTACAGTTGAAGAAATTTAAAGTACACTGAAGGAATAAGATAATTTAAAAGTGGGAGAATTAAAAAAAAAKAATAATTCTGTAATGGCAAGAGATCCAGTGGTGCCACAGGCTTTTGCCAGGAGTCAGGCAGAGCAAAGCCCTCCCCAGACTGGCAAATCCTTTTCCTTCCTGAATAATCCCCACCCTCCTCCCTGATTCCCCTCAGCATGAAATGTTTATAATCTGGGAAAGGTCATTCCCAAACTCTGYTAAAGCCCCAGCTCCTTGTGACAGAATGAGCTCTGCAGTCCCGATACCAGCCTGGATCCCAGTCAGGATATCAGCCAGGATCCCAGCCYGGATCCCACTCAGGATCCCATCCAGGATCCCATCCAGAATCCCAGCCTGGGATCCCAGCCCAGGACTCCAGTCAGGATCCAGCCCAGGATTAGGATCTAGCCCTGGATCCCAGCCTGATCCAATCCAGGATCCCATCCAGGATCCCATCTAGGATTAGGATCCAGCCCAGGATCCCATCCAGGATCTCGGCCTGCTCCCAACCCAGGATCCCAGCCCAGGATTGGGATCCAGCACTGTGGTCTGGGTGGATCTCCTGCCCTACTGCATGACAGGACCTGCCCTAGGTCAAGAATGGGCCAGACTTTGGGTTCCAGGTGAAAGTGCTCCATTTGTGCCAGGACAGTCATTCCAAGGAACACTGTGCTGGGGGCACAGGAACACCGAGCTGGTGGCACAGGAACACCGAGCTGGGGGCACAGGAATACTGATCTGGTGGCACAGGAACACCCAGCTGGTGGCACTGGCACACTGAGCTGGTGGCACAGGAAGCTCCCAGCACAGTTCAGCACCACTGCAGCTGCACTGCTGTCACCAGTTAGCCTCACCTTAACACTGAGCTCACAAATAGTTTTTTTCCAAGGAAAGGCATCCACTGGGACCTTTGGAACCACAGGACAAACACGGCAGGGCTGAGGGAGGAGCCAAAGGGAGCATCAAAAGTAAACCTCGGTGCAGGGGGGTTGAATTACTTTTGATAACGAGCTKGGGTTTGTTAGTTTGCCCCTAGGAGGGCTCAAACCCCAGGAACTGCACAGGAACAAACCGTGGTGATGGAAATGGAGCCATGGCAGAGGCTCCAGGCAGCACTTACCCATTCCCTTTTAACCTCCAGAGGGAAGCAGGGATGCAAAGCAAGGCACAGTTACACAGTCAGCACTGAGTGCCAGCAGCTGCCTAGAGCAGAGCATCTAAACCATTCCTGAGGCCAGGAGGGACAGTCAGGGACATTATGGTCAAAACTTCAATATTCCCCCAGGAATCAGGACCATTATAGTCAAAAGTAACTTCAATATTCCTCCAGGAATCAGGGTCATTATGGTCAAAAGTAAAATGATTGGGGGCAATCAGAATATTGATTTTTTTTCAATATTTCTCCAAGAATCAGTCATTATGGTCAAAAGTAACTTCAATAAAGACAACAGAGAGGAATTATCCTTCTAGGGTAGAGTAGGTTAAAATCAAGTCCAAAAGCAATGTACAGAAAGACCCAGAGGGTCTCAAAGTCTCTATTTGAAATACGTGAAGTGCTCCTTAGAATCATATAGTTCAGGGGAAAATCTCATTTCCCTGCAAGTCTCTCTTTAAAAATTATTTCAGTGGTCTTTAGAATTGCATATTTTGGGAAAAATTATATTTTCCCTGCAAATCTCTTTTCATATATGCGCAATGCTCCTTAGAGTTACATATTTTGGGGGTAAATGTTATTTTCCCCGCAAATCTCTGTTTAAATACAAGTAGAGCTCCTTAGAATAACACACTTTGGGGGAAAAATGTTATTTTCCCTGTAAATCTCTTTTAAAAAATGTGTGAAATGCTTCCTAGAATCATGTTTTGGGGGAAAATGTTTTTTTTCTGCAAATCTCTATTTAAAAATTATTTCAGTGCTCTTTAAAATAATGTATTTAGTGGAAAATTGTTCTTTCTCCTGTAAGTCTATGAATGAGTGATCACTTGCTCACGGATGATGACCTTCAAGCCCAGGCCAGCCCCTATTTCCCAGGAAAACAAAGCATCCCAGCATTTCCCAGCACTCCCCATGTCTCCTYCCCTCTTTCCCAGCTGCCTGCCCAACACCGTTTCCTACTGCAGCTTTACAACCTGTTGTATCCTTACTCAGAGTCCTCAGCAGGGACCCCAGGCCAGGATTCACTTTGGATTTTCCACAATCAAATTTAAGTGTCACAAAGACCCAAAGAATAAAAACCCAAACCAATCCCAAAAGGTTCACTTTCCCAGAAACAGCTTTTTAAAATATTAATCATTACAATTTAGGGGAATCTGCAAAGTGTATTTTTTCCCAAATCCACTGTTACTAAACTGAGCTAAAATGTAAAAGCTCTCAAAATCAATTTTGTTGGGTCAATTCACTGCTGGGAATAAACTTCCCCCSGTGAACAATATTTAAGAATTCTCCCAGGAATCTTCATTCTGAATGTTAAGAACATATTAATGATTAATTAACTTTAATATCCTTAATCCCTGCAGCCATTAACACCAGAACTGTAACTTAGASAGATGAAAGCAAATACTGCTTCAGAGTTTGACACACCACACTGACCCTATCCCTGAAAAATTAATATTCTGGGAATTATTCTGTATCAACATGCTTGCAACCAAACATTTAGGATTTAAAGTTTCCGTCCTCGCCATATAAAATTGAAATCACAAATGGCAGAAGCTGCAGTAATTTTCTCAATCCCTGCTTACCATGACGATGTCTCCAGGCTGGATGGTGATCTCATCGTGGCTTCTGGATTCAAAAGGATACAGAGCTCTATAATACACTATTTTTACATCCTCCTGAGCAGAAATGGTTAGAGGAGCTTTTTCTGAGCAAAGGAAACAAACACACAGATACAGAGAAAAGAAATCAAACCACCTTATTTTTCAACAGTGAAAAACGGGGTGAAAGTGGAGACAAGAATCATCAAACCTGGCAGGGTCTGCAGTAAATACTTCGTCCCCTTTTTACACAAGGGGGAATGGGAAAATGAATTATTTAAATAAAAAAAATCTTATTATTTTCTCCCCTAAACAGCAGGGAAAATCACAGAACCCCAGAAAGGTTTGGGTTGGGAGAGACCTTAAAGCCCATACCTGCCCTGCCATGGGGACACCTCCCACTGTCCCAGGCTGCTCCAAGCCCTGTCCAACCTGGCCTGGGACACTGCCAGGAACTGGGATTCCACAGCTTCTCTGAGCAGGATTTAGATATAAAAGTGGTACAATTCTTTGGATGAATATTTCCACCAGTATTACATTCCCAAACAACTCTCATGGGTATCCAAAGCCACTTAAGASGGAGCAGAATTCCCAACACATGCAAAAATCAGGATATAACGTACAGAAAAGGCTCTCAGYTGGAAGTGACTCTGTGGAGAGCAGAAAAGGGGGATTAAATCTTAAGATTTCAGGTCATTTGTCCAGTGAACAAAGGAAGGCAGGAAAGGGAAAAGGGTGACAAAACAACATACTGTTCCTACTTTGTAACGTCCCAAGGCATGCATCCCACACCAAAATAAAAACTCAGGAATCATTTTGGACATCTTGCATCCAGCCCCTTCCAGCTCCTTCTTCCCTTGGCCCCGGAGTCTCAGCTGGAAGGGGCTCTCCCCTCTGCCAAACAGCAGCCTTTTGGGAAGAACAGCRATGCCTAAAAACCATTTTTGGAGTCTAGAGCTCAATCCATGCCTGATTTACTTTAAGACTCACAATCCAACCTGGGACACCCCCTGTTTTGTGTGAAATGGGCAGAGAAGAGAGAGCTGAGCTGTCCCAGAGCATTCCCTGCTGCCGGCCCCTACCTGCATTGGACCACGGAGCCTGGCCGGGCTTGTGGGGCTCCTGGTGGGGCTGGAAGATTTTACTGAGCTTCTCCTGCATCTCCTGTTTGCCCTTCTCCTCGCCCTCCTTCTTCTTGGGCACTTCTTCCCTTTTTTGCTTGTCATCTTCCTGGATTTTTTTTTGCCACTGCGGTTCCTCGTCCTGCTGTCCCCGATCCAGCCGTGGTTTGTCCCGTTCCTGGATCCGCCTGTGGGACAGTTGGGGGGTTTAGAGCCACTCAAACCAAACCCACCAAAGCTTTTGGTGATCTTCAGGACCAAGTGTCCTCTTTAGGCTTTTCCATGCCCTGATTTTATTTTGGTGAGTTATCAAGCAATCCCCAGCACCTCGTGACACAATGATTMCCAAAAAACGGGGATTCATGTAATGGTTTGGGTTGGAAGGGACCTTAAAGATCATCTCATTCCAACCCAAAGACACAAACATCCTTGGGTAATACTCCAAATAGCCAAATCAGAAAGGAAAAAGCAGGAATTAAAGCATGTGGCCCATCTTTACCCACAGGGACAAGGACAAGTATTTGCAAGTTGMACGCAGCACTCCAGAGAATTATTTGAAATATTTCGCATTCCCARCCACCAGAATTTGCAAATCCTTCCCCTTCAAGAGGGGACAAGACCACAAGAAATGAACAAATATTCTCTGCTAGAAACAATTTGGCCCAGTAAAGATAACTGAAGATCTAAAGCATGCCCAGTGTGTTCCAGTTGTTCCATGGCCTATTCCATCCCAGGAATTTCTTCAGAATTAGGGACAAATCCTGAGAACCAGCTGCTCATCACACACCTGGTATGCTACAAAGAACAGACTTTGTCCAAGGACAACATGAATTCCTGACCAAAAATGCTGTGAGAAAAAAAAATTAATTCATGGAATCCCAAAATCCCTGAGGSTGGAAAAGCCCTCCCAGCCCATGGAGTCCCAGCTGTGCCCGATGCCCACCTTGTCCCCAGCYCAGAGCACTCAGTGCCACCTCCAGCCCTTCCTGGGACACCTCCAGGGATGGGGACTCCAAAGCTCCCTGGGCAGCYYCTGCCAAGGCCTGAGYACCCTTTCCAYGGGSAAATTCCTCCTGCTATCCAACCAATCATTTCCAAGCATTAAGCGTGGCCCTAGAAGACCCTGGAAGTCTGRAGCAGGAATATTTTTCAAGAAGTGCCMGGGAAGGTGTCACAGAATGGGCTCAGTTAAAGCAGTTTGGTACCTCTGAGCTTCTTTTTGCTTTTCCAGCTCCACTGTCTTCCTCTCTTGCTCCTTCTGTTTCAACCTCTCGGCTTCCAAGCTCTTCTGCTTCTGCAGCTGCTGTTTGTTATGGATTTCTCTCAGCTCCTGGATGAAAGAAATGAAAATAGGTGTAAACATCCACTCTGTGAATCAGAACTCAAGGCCCCAAGGAGTTCACTGTGGGGAAACCACACCTGGGAATGGCTGGGGATSTCTGCCCAAACTCACTCTCTGCCAAATGCAGGTATTGAAGGGTCATTTCCAAGGTCTGCAAACCACTTACTGTTTTCCTATTTTTATCCATTTAATTGAGATATTAAAGACAGAAAACCTTTAAATGTGGCTCCAAAAAAATGGGACAATCTTTAATCTGTAAAGTCATTTCTGTTTTGTTTGTTTGTGGAAGTCATTTATTAATTTCCAAACAAAAATCTGCCTTCTGTGCWCTCACAACAGCAACACTCAATCAGTTTCATTTTCTAATTAATGCTGGTTTACTAAGGAACCTTCAGGACTGGTTTATACTCAGGAGACTGAAATCCTTAAGGAATGTCTTTGGGATGAACTGCAGTACAGAAAATATTCATTCATATCCAAGTCAGTTTTTCTTTAATAAACTGGAAGGCCATTGCCTGAAAAAAATTATAATACAAATAATAATAACAAAACCATAATATTTTCCTCAAGATTTGTTTTCTGCATTTCTGGAATCTCTCTGCACAACCTGGAATTTTGTATATGAMCTCTTCAGCATCACAGGGAAACAAAGCAAAATTTTACCTCTGGCCACTGAGGATTTTCATTGACAATAGTTCACTTCAAAAATTGGTATCTTTTAATAAAAATGTATTACAGGCAGAAATTGAAATTTTGAAAGTATCTGGATAGTTTTTTTCAGAAATTCACAATCTACAAACCAACCACAGGGGGTTTTCATGTAAAAATCCTCATGCACTGACCCAAATGTGAAAATTGCATAAGAGACAAAAAAAATTATATATCACATGATCCAAACCCACTGGATAGAGGGATAAAAGCTTCCAAAGTGAAGCTGATCCTTGTCCCAGCTGAGTCTCATTCCGTTAATGCTCCTCAATTTTAAATTCAATGAAAAAGGAGCTCAGCATCATTAAGAAGAGAATCAGCTCTCAGGAAAGTTTGAATTAAAACCCTGCTAAGGCCACAAACCCAGTGCAATCCAGAGATAATCTCAATTTGGGCAGCACTTTGTTTTATCTGCCAGACTGTGATGGGCAGGGGGATCCACAGTCCCCACATCCTCCCCACGAGCTTCTGAACCCTTCTTTGACCAAACCACGCTCAGGTGCATGGGGCCAGTTCAAGAACATTGGCAGTGTTGGGATTAACACCCTTCAGCTGAGGCAACCCCAGACTTTTGGGGTGGAAGGGATTTTAGGGATCATCCAGAACCACCCCAGCCATGGCAGGGAGAGCTCCCACTGTCCCAGGCTGCTCCCAGCCCCAACCTGGCCTTGGACACTTTGAGGGATCTGGGGCAGTCCTCTAAGGGATCTCACCACTAAAACAGGATTTTCACCAGTTCCACTGCCAAATGTTAAACTGGGGCTGCTGCARCTGAGCCACACCCCCATGTCTGCCTGGAGCAAGGGGCTTCTGCTGTGAGCACAAGGAGTGGGATCAGTGAACGCTGCTGCCAACCCTGGCACAAATAATTCTGTTACTCTGTTCACCTGTTTTGTCATTTCATCCACCTGCTCAGCTAAGTCAGGATCTAACGAGACATTTTAATAATTATTTAAGTTTTCCATCGACATTTTAACATCATTCCCTCCCAGCCAAGCAGATGTGCTGGGTCAGTGCTCTGTGAAGGGATTTTTCTGTGACAGAACTGTGTTTCAAGAAAATCAAACCTACTTTGTAGTCCTGGCACTGGATGGAGCATTTCTGGAGGTTAAAAATTCCCATATAGATCCCTTTGGACCAGCTAGGAAGAAACAAAGATGTGATGGGCATCTCATGCAACAGAGATGCTGTGCAAAGTGGGAGGATGGCAAGGAAGAACCAGCAGCTCCCACAGTTCTGTTGGAATGCAGTTGAACAAAACTCCAGTAACACTTCAACAGCCCAGAAATGAAATTTTCCCAGCTGGATTCAGCACAGTCCTACACTCATCTTGGACAGACACAGCCTCCAGGTGTACGTGTCTGACTCATGTCAGACAGAATTCCACAGAATTCCACAGACACACCAAGGCTCTGCTCCTTTCTGGGACGCAGGACAAGGAATGTCTTACCTTAAAAGCAGAGAAGCTGTTACCTTGGCACTTAATTTCCAAACAGACCAACAAGGAGAATTTTGAGATGTTACAAAGCCACAGTCAAAACACTGAGTAGGAATTAAAGCATTTTGCAGAGCAATATTCACTACAGACAGACAAGTCATTTGCTCTAAAAACCCTCATGGGGAGAAATGGAGTTGTTTAAAACCAGATTGTGCCTTCTTGACAGCAGGACAACAGGATTTGGGATTTTCAGGGATTACAATAAAAGGTTTCCTTTGGATCTTCTCCCCTTGAGACAAGCAGAGCATTTGATCCCAGAGGAAAGGACCCTGCAGTTCTGTGCTCCCTGAAGCTTTCCCAGAGCAACCCTTTCCTGCCCCATTTCCCAGCTCCCAAAGCTTTGGCCTTGGCAGACAATTCCTCCCTCCACCCCATCCTGGGGGAGGCTGGACAAAGGACAGATGTTGCCATCTCTCTTCTCCCTGGAAACTCAAATAATACAATGTGTAGGGATATTTCCCATCCAAGCATTTGCTTTTGAAAAATTCTGAAAATCATGACCAAAATAGGCAATTTCCTTAAAATCTTGACATTCCAGATAAGCAAAGATAGAAGTAACTCATTTGTGGCTTGCCCAAGTTGCCATTCAAGGCACACTCCTCAGGTGGGCGTAAGGATTAGATCAAAATCCAATGCCCAACTCTTCTCTTTGGTTTGCTTTGGCGCTGGCACCCCTTGGCAAACTGATTTTTTCACTGATTCAGTGAAACCCTGCCCACTCATCTGCTTAGGGAAAGGTGAAGCACATAACTGGAGGAGGCTCGTCCCTCAGACAGAGCGGGGTCCTGCCTGAGCAGGGCAGACCTTGGGGAAGGAGTGGAAGTGCTGAATGCAGCCCAGGAGGAGCGCCAGGCACTGCAGCATTGCCTCTTGCACTGCCACTGACTGCAAGAAAGAAATGCTCAGATGTAAAGAGGCRTTGGGCAGGAGCTGCTCCATCCACACGGACACACAGACACACAAACACGTGGACACACGGACAACACCAGGACAGCTGCAGCCCCCCRGGCCTTCACTGCTTTATCCAGGCAAAACCTCAGCTCACAAACAGCAACTCATTCATTGGGCTCCAGTGAGCAGGAAAGCAGCACCAAATCCTGGGTATTTCCATGTTCTGGRAAGCCTCTGGGAGTGSTCAGGAGGAGTCTGGATGTGGCCCTTGGGGACAGGGTTTGGGGTGATGCTGCTGGGGCTGGGGTGCCACTGGGTGATCCCAAAGGGCTCTTCCCATCCTGACAATTCTGGGATCCTGTGACTGCCCCTCCTAAACTTAGCCCTTCCAATAAGGGCTTCCACCCCTCTTCCAATCCCCATGTTCAGCACCAAATCTGCTCTTCCTGGCAGAGGAGTTCCACAAATCTCCTCAGGCCAGAGGAGATTTTCTGCTGTTTCCAAAGAAGGGTCTCCGCTTTCGTTACTGATCAATTGACTGAAACCAATTTTCCTGTCCAACTGCAAAATCATTTACCTTTACTCAAGGAATTCTTGGTCTCCTGGCACATGCTGATAGATTTGTGTTTAATGGGCAACTGCAATTTCTAATTATCATTAGCTTGTTATCTGCAAAGTTCAAGCCTTCAATATTTACAAGATTGAGTTTTGGATGACTGGTTGGTTGGTTTGGGTTTTTTTGCAATTGTCACAGTATTAAGACAGTTCAGCCCCTTTGCATATTTATGTTTAGGTAATTTATGATCAAACCAAATATTGGCATTCATTCCAGAATTAATATTCTTTGATCCAATTTATCACTTTTCAAGGACTCCATTAAAAAATACCCAAAGAGCACACCACGTTAAGGATKTATCAAAAAATCATATATAAGGAATAATTAAATGAGGTCTAAACTTCAAGGATTAATTAAGCAAGGATTGAACTATTCTATTTTCTTTYAAACATAAATTTTGCCATTCTGTTTGTTCTATGTGCCATTCTGTTTGACTCTGAGGAGATTCTCCCCTTCCATTCTCCCTCTCTAAGACTAGGAGAGTCACCTTCAAATTAACCTTTAAACAGAGCTACAGCTTTTAATTTTTCCTATAATTACTATAACTCTAATTTAAACAAGCTATTTGTTGCTTAAATTCAAGCCCACCTTCCATCCTGAACTGTTTGATTTAATCCCAGTTGATGAAGTTTCAAAACAACTCCATTAATGTCTCTGTCACAGTGATTTTCCTGCTGAATACTCATAGCACAAATTGTGACACCTTGTAGAAAATTGAGTATTTTTTATCAGCTTTCAGGAGAACCCACCAGTGGAACTGSCAGACAAAGTACTTGAACATTGGAATATTTTACAAAAAAAAGGAATTCTATTAAAATCTTGTAATTAAAGACCGATTTCCAACTTCTCTCTGCAGAAGCCTGACAYTTCTAGTGCAGAAACACACACAAAAAATCACAATTTTAACAAAGACTGCGCATGAAACCACAAACCACAGACAGYTACACTCAAGGACAAGCAGGGGCACACGGACAGCAGATAACAATTCTGTGTGACAGCAGAAAATCAAGTCTCTTTTATTCAAGACTTCAATTTGAACTGCCGATTCCAGCAGATTTGCTGTCCTACACTTCTTGGATCCAAAAGCACAGAAATTGGTAGTTTCACATTTGCAATCACAGCTCCAGAATCAGGGCTCAAATTTCCTCCTAAAGAGATTATGCAGATTAAATTGATTCAAACCCTGAGTTTCAAAGATGAGCAGCATTTTCTTAGAAATAAAATAAAAATTAAATCCCCAAAAGACAGATTTGAGAACCCTCCCAAAACTGACATTCTTCATCATTTCAATTCATGTTTTTTTCCATACAAAAGGTTAGAAAACTATTAACTGAACATTCAGAAAGGCTTAAGGAGTCCTGGGTTACCTTCAGCTGATTATTGAAAATATCAATTTCCTGCAGTTTCGATCGGGTTTCTTTCTCCACCTCATCCAGCTGRTCCCGGAGCTGCTGCCGTGCCAGTTCCTTGGCTTCCAAGGCTCTTTTGATGGTGAGAAGGGAATCCCCTGGTTTCAAACACATTGCCAAGTCAGTATTTTCTTCTGGAAACAGTTTAGGACACAGAAAGCAATGTTCTCCCATCTGCATCTTGCAACACCCAGAAGGCAATTCCAGGGGCCGGTGCAGTGAGGGAATGTGTCCTGTCCCACTCAGACATGCCCCAAATGTACTCACTGTGCAAACTGTTCTGCTGGACCTGCTTGAGCTGATCATTGAGCAGCTGCTTCTCAGGGATCAACCTGCCCAGCATCTGCTGAGACTCCTGAACCCAGGACAGGGAAAACAAGAACAGAAACAGGCAGAAGGTGAGTGAGGGACAAGAGCAGCCACAGGAGYTCCCATTTTCATTTCTGTTCTGCTTTTTCTCTCCCTGACTGATGTATTATTGCTCATTTCCCTCATTATGTGTTACTGCTCCATCCAAGCACTGTCTGGGCTATTCCCACAGATCCCACACATCCTTCTCTGCCAGTTCCAAAAGAATGAATGAATCAAATTCAATTGATCCCCACAGAATATTGAACTGGGCTTGGAATTATCCAAAACTGATGGCAGAAAGACAAGGATAAATTTGGGGAAACGTTCAAACAAGCACTTACTAAATGTTTAATTCTGATTTCAATAAATGTAAACAGAATCTCAGAATCCCTGAGGGTGGAAAAGCCCTCCCAGCCCATGGAGTGCCAGCTGTGCCCCATGCCCACCTTGTCCCCAGCCCAGAGCACTCAGTGCCACCTCCAGCCYTTCCTGGGACACCTCCAGGGATGGGGACTCCAAAGCTCCCTGGGCAGCCCCTGCCAAGGCCTGASCACCMTTTCCATGGGCAAATTCCTCCTGCTGTCCACCCTGAGCCTCCCCTGGCCCAGCCTGAGGCCGTTCCCTCTCCTCCTGTCCCTGTTCCCTGGGAGCAGRGCCCGACCCCACCCAGCTGCCCCCTCCACTAACAGTTGCCAATACATAATGTTAATAACAGTGTTAATAATTATTAACTTCGATCAAGAATAGAAAGACAAATACTTATAGGAAGAGAAAATAAAGGCTTTTCTTTTAAAGGAATATATTCTGGTCAAAAGCCAGAATGAAACATAAGCCCTGTGGGATGAGAGCCCCTGAGTCCTTGATCTCTCCACTCAGAGCTCTTGGAAGAGGATTCTGATCGCTGTCAAACTCAGCACATGGTTGGAAGGTGAACTGCTGTGTTACAGGGGTCCCTGCAGATGATCCCAGCCCTTTGGAGGACCCCATTTATCTATTTCCTGTAGAATCYTGGTCCTTTCCAGAGCATGAAGTGCCATCTGCCACACTTTTCTGGAGCCTTGACCTCCAAGCTCAACTTGTCAAACAACTTCAGCAGCAYGAGGTGAAACAGCACCTGAGTATCAACACCCCACCTTTCCCACAAATCCAGTAATTTCTCTGGGCAGTTCTCTGGGATTGCAGGCTTTTGAGGAATCAAGCAGCTGACAGCTTCAATCAGTCACAGAGGATTGCAAATGACATCACTCAATGCTAAGAATAAACATCCCCTGATCCCTGAGCACCAGAGTGAGCCCCAGGGATATCATGGACTCCCCAAGGCTGGCAGTGCCCAAGGCCAGGCTGGACACTGGGGCTGGGAGCAGCCTGGGACAGTGGGAGGTGTCCCTGCCATGGCAGGGGTGGCACTGGATGGGCTTTGAAGCCCATTCCAACYCAAGTCATTCTGTGATTCCACAGTTTCATGGGAAGTTTTAATTTTGGTTCCAGTAACGCAGTATTGAGTGCACTGCCATGGCTTTGGGCTGTCCCACTTTCCTCCTGCCAGACCCTGACTGGGCTCTGCAGTGCCCAGCTCAGCTCTGAGCATTATGCAATGACTGCAGCCTCCTGTGATCTCCTTATGTTCCAGAAAATACCCTGAGACAGCACAGCACAGTCAAGGACTTASGAATTCACTCTGTAGTAAAATTCACACGAAATACAGATTTGATTACCAGGAGCTGCCCGTGTCCCTCACTGTTCAGCTGCAGGGCCTGCTGCACCTACAGCACCTACAGAGCTTTCCCAGTCCCTCAGGGAAATCCCAAAACCTGGATACTCCAATCTGCTCTGCACTGGGGTGGCCTCACCTCCAGTCCTGGGAACAGYTCTGGGTGTCTCAATATAAGAAAGATCAAAAGCTGTTGGAAGGTGCTCAAAGGACGGTTCAAAGGGATGGGAAGGGTCTGGAGGGGCCACACGAAGCCACTTGGTCAGTTGAGCCTGGAGGAGCCGGAGGGCAGAGCTCCCTGGGGGCTGCAGCTCCTCCCGAAGGACAGAGAGGGGACAGCTCTGATCTCTGCTCTGCGACAGGGACAGAGCCAGGGAGTGGCTGAAGCTGGGCCAGGGCAGGCTCAGGCTGGAGAGCAGGGAAAGGTTCTTCTGTCCCCAGAGGGTGCTGGCACTGCCCAGGCTCCCCAGGGAACGGGCACGGCCCCGAGGCTGCCAGAGCTCCAGGAGCGTTTGGACAGCGCTGCCAGGGATGCACAGGCTGGGATTGCTGGGGKGGCTGGGCAGGGACAGGGGTGGCACTGGGTGATCTTTGGCTCCTTTTCCACTCAGGACATTCTGTGGCTGTCATCCTGGGACTGTCATCTACCTGCAGCAAATGGCAAACAGCTGATCTGTAATCTCGCTCTGCTGGGAGGGTCCCTGCCCATGACACGGGGTGGAACGGGATGAGCTTTAAGGTCCCTTCCAAAAACCGCTCTGTGCTTCTGTCAATCTGAGATTGCTGCACATCAACCAAACAGCAGAACAGATGTCAACATGGAACAGAAAAATTTCTACTCCAAGCACAAGAAGCACCACAGGACAGCGTTTGAGGGTGGAATGTGATCACAACATCAGCTGCTTTGTTTCTAAAGGCCAGAACACTTGCAAACATCCCAGATTACTCAATGCACTGAATAGTTTGGGAGTGTGTAAGGACAGAGAATGCCAAGGGATCGTGAAGGTCAAGTCCTGCTTCCTGAAATCACAGACAACCATGGAATAAGTATCTACCCAAGAACCGCCCCCACATGGATTCCACATCCTCGCCTTGTACTGAAGAAACAGATGAAATAAATTAATAGCATCAGTAACTCTGGAAACTCATACAACAAGAAATGGCCAAGAGTTGAGCAATGTCCCACACGGCAGGGGAAATCAAAATTCAGTTCCTGTCCCTTGAATGAGGGAAAATTCAAACTACTTGGAAGCCAAAGGGTTCATCAAGGAGGCAAATAATCCCTGCAGGTAATGAGCAAATCCCACACAGCATAAATGTGTTTCAAACACAGCTTAGGCATTTGGAAGGCAGGATCCTTTTCAGCATACCTGGAAAGACCACTCAATCAGAGACCACAGATCCACAGACCTGGCACACCTTTTCATCACCCAGGATTAACTGGGACACAATTTCTTTCACAAGCTTCATTAAACACGATGTTGAAACTAATTAATAAGTTGAAGAATAATTACTCCTCTGAATTAACTCATCTTCCCTTAGGAAGTGTCAGCTGTATTAAACTAAACTATTTCCAATGAAGATACATACCCTACAAAGATAATGACTTTTGACTTTTTAACCTATTTGGGAGTTTAGAGGAAGAAAATATTTTTTAAAAACTCATTTACATTTTTAGTCAGTCGTCTATGGATGACATAGGAAAATTTATGGGACATTTAAAAAACAATGTCTTTTTTTCAGGAAAAAGCTTTACAGCTCTCCCCAGATAAAATCTGGCCTTTTCTCCCAGATACTGACACATTTCCTGGGATCACAACTGGGATAAAAACACCTCAAGTGACAGTTTGTGAATTATCAGTGGTGCAGATCAATGACAGAATAATTACCACACAGCCCCAGTTATTGGTGCCAAACCACCTCAAAGCCCAAACCTGACAGAACAAATGCAAGGAAAAGCAGGAGTGAAGCTGGGATGGAACAGCAGGAGTGGGTTTTACGACAGGTTTTACACCTCAGCCGTCATAACATAAATGAGAGATTCTGTTTGTAGTGGCAGAAACATACTGAGAGACCCCCTTGACCAGCCAAGCATTAATTTGAAGCAATATGAAGAATTTAATATAGAGAAAAATTCCTAAATCAAATCCTAAAACCCACTGAAAAACCCTCACAAACTACAGAGAATGTTCTTTCACCAAAGGCAGACACCTACCCAGCTCCTCCTTTAATCTGACACAGAATTTTAGATCAGTAAGAATGGCAAATGCCAGGGTTAGAACAAGAACTCCATGTTTTCACTGGGAACTTCCATTTTGAAAGTTCATAACCTTATAATTAAGAAAAAAACACCAACAAGCCACTTCATTGCAGTCAATCCTATCCCCCAGCACACAACAGCAAAATACACACTGGGAAATTTGCTTCTCCCCATCCCCAAAAGCACCTGCAGCCAAAGCATTTCCTGCTCCCCACAAGGAGTCCAGGAGGATGAAGGGATAATCAGACACACCCTCAAGGGTAGGAAGCAATTCCCAGCCACGTCTCAAGGACATTCATTACAGCAATGACAGATTATCTACAGTGATTCTATAAGTGTGAGGAACAGGTCAGCCCAAGTTTGCTCAGGATGTCGATGTTTTTGAGGAGGTCAGCATTCAAAGCTAAGAATAAAATTAGAGAAGGCTTTTTCACCTGTAGCTGCTGCTGCAAATGGGTGATTTCTGCAATTCTGAGTTCTCGGGATTTATTTGTACTTTCAATTTCTTGTCTTTGGGTCGACAGCCGACACCTGATGTCCTGCAGCTTCCCCTCCAACTGGTTTCTTTTATCGTTCTTTAAAAGAAAAGAAAAAGATCTATTTTATTTTTTTTAACCAAAACGTTTGGTCATGCAAGTCAGGATCTAAAACCTACTTTTATTTCATATTTTAAACTGAAATTATAGAAGATAAACATGGCCAGGGTAYAGTCACCACCACACTGTGTTTGTGTGTTTGACCTGCACCACCACCACCACTCACGAGAGCTTCCAGCTCGAATTCCAAGGTTTTCTTCTTTGCCTTCAGCACCACAATGTCCTCCTGCTCCTTGTTCCTCTGGTTCAGCAGCTCCTGCCGCCGGTTGCGCTCCCACTCCAGCTGCCGCTGCCTCTCCAGCTCCCGTTTGGCAGCCTGCAGAATTAAAAAGAAATATCCATCATTTCTGATATTGATCATCTCACATTCAATTAAAACGTTGGTATAAACAGGGGCTRCTCTGTGCCTCTGCACACATAAATTGCTCAGTGGTTGCGAGGCTTCTGCGCACAGCACAGATGAGTGAACAGCAAATCCCTCTGTTCTCCTGTTTTCCAAGATCCAGTTTGCCAATGCAGTAAGTTGTTTCATATTAGGATTTGGAGAACTCACCAGGACATATCCAAACCCCTTTCCAATCTCCAACATTCGACCTTCTGCACTTTGCAAAGAGCAGCAAAATGCTTCTGTGCTGAATTCATCCTTGTTTGGCAATGGGAGAAAATACGAGCTTTTTGGGTTAACAAGGGTGCCTTTTCTTCAATAAATTAAAGGCCTGGCCCAAATTAAAGGATAGGTTGGATGGAGCAGCCTGGTCTGGTGAATGTTATCCCTGCCCATGGCAGAGAGTTGGAACTGGAGGATCTTTAAGGCCCCTTCCAACCCAAACCATTCTGGGATTCTATAAAATGAACTCATCACTGGAAAATCATGAACACCCCAAGCTTTTCTTCATTCATTCAAACACCTCTTAACATCAAATATAATGATAATAGTAATCTTTTTTTTTTTTAAGAAGTCAGAAGCAGCTGTCCCAGATGTCAATGTCTCCTCCATTCTTTTTGCAGGACAAATGAAGCAATAAATGAACTGCCCCTTCCTTGCCTTTAACACCCCAGAGATCTCAGCTCATGGTTTAAATGTTTGCTGAGTGCCCAGCTCCCACCCGGATCCCCCAAACCCAGGGAACAACCTCTCCCTGCTGCCCTGGCTCACCTCTCTCCTCTCGATCTCTTTCCTCCTTTCCTCCTCGCGCTGCCGCTCCAGCTCCCGCTGTTTCTCCAGTTGTTTCTCCAGCTCCAGCTGCCGCTTGCGCTCCTGCTCCTGCCTCTCGCGCTCCTTCCTCTCCTGCTCGGCCCTCTCCAGCTGGGCCAGGCGCTCCTGCTCCTTGCGCTGCTGCTCCAGGAGTGCCTGCCTGCGCTTCTCCAGCTCCAGATTGCCCCGCTCAAAGTTCTCCCGCTTCTTGTCTTCGAAGGTCACTTGGTGCACGGAAACACGGGGCAAAAAGGACAGTTACACTCTGCTACTGACTTCAATAAATCCATATAAATCCAAATGTATTAAACTAAACTATTTCCAGTGAAGATACGGCACCCTACAAAGATAATGACTTTTGACTTTTTAACCTATTTGGGAGTTTAGAGGAAGAAAATGTTTTTTAAAAACTCATTTACATTTTTAGTCAGTCGTCTATGGACAAGATAGGAAAATTTATGGACATTTGAAAAATCCAAATGAACCCCCAACAAAGTGGAACAGCCTTTGTGCAGGAGTGCATGCAGCCCCCCACAAAGGATAACTGAGCTCCACAGGCCAGCCAGGGGTTCAGCACTAGCACAGACATTGCTGATCCCCTCAAACCCGCATCCTCAGCAAAACAAGGAGGAAATTTCCATTCCCATTCCTCAGGCTTCCACGTTTCTCCACAAAGCCCAGCAAGTGGGGATAATTTAGACAAGCCATTCTCCAGCTGATCCTCTGTGAGGACACAGATCTGGAATTCCTCTGCCCATTGGATAACAGCAGCATTCCAAAAGCCAACACTTCCATTAGTGCAAGGCAAAGAATTCAGCTGCTGACATCATCAAAAAGCCATTATGCAAATGACCAGAACTCATTTAAAGTTGCTGTTCTCAACTCAATTAGATTACTCATTACTGTCAGGAGAAGAAACCATTTAGGTTCTTGAGCAGCTGAGCCCAGGAAATCTGGATTCCTGCAGATGCACATCCTCATCATTTACCGTCCTAAAAGAATGGCCTCAGTTCCAGCACAGTTCCCCTGACAACCCTCTGCAGTCCCAGGGACTGTCCTTCCCCTGTTCCTTGCTCCTTGTCCCCTCCCTCCAAACTATTCTTTCACTTCACCTTCCATTCCTTTTCATTCCCACAGCCCAAAGTCCAAATTTCTCTCCCCTGTCAACCCATCATGGACATTTTTGGGATGCAAGGCAAGGGAGAGCACACATTTCCTTCCATGTGTGCACCCACAGTTGGACACATCGGTCCAACACCTGCTGAACCAGCTGAATTCTTGTCTTTTCAAGTTTGTCCCCCCTCCAGCTGCCTCTTCCTTTTTTTTCTTTTCCTGGGACTGCTGAAATTTGTACAAAGTCCCAAACTGTTCCACAGATTCCAAGAAAATGGGTTTCTGTGGGAATACTGGGATCTATCACAGAGCACCTCAGCCAAGCTTTGCTCCACCCAAGCCAGAGGAGGAAGGCAGCAGGAATTCTTCCTGCCAATCCTGTGCCAAGGCTGCCTGCGTGGGCAGTGCAGCAGATGAGCAGCCTGAGGCTCCTCCCACCCCCAGTGTCACCAACCCCAAGGATGGGGCACCAGTCAGGAATGAGCTGGACCCAGCAATGTCTTGGTTGTGCCTCTGACATGTCCCAGACTGCTCTGGAAAGCCATTTCTCAGTCAGCCTGTGTTCCCTCCCAGGCTGTGACCTGATGGGAACATCCCTCTGGGAACAGCACACTAAACAGCCCTGTTTTCCATTGCCCACCTGGTAATTTCTTTTCCAGTTGCTGCTGCTCTTCTTCCAATGCTGGTTCTTCTGGCAACCTTTGGTCTACAGACACTGAACTGGCAGCAGAAATCCCACTGCCAGAGCGGACTCTTCTGCCAAGGAAACAGGAATGTCAGGTGCTTGACAGAACCCAGGCCTGCCCAAATGATTTATGATTTAATAATGAGATCAAATTAAATGCAATGATGTAATGGTATTAATGCTCATTCAGAGCTGCCCAGAGGGTCCCACTCAGGCATTGCCTCAGGAGAACAGGATTTTCCAGGGTCCCAGCAGCTACTGGTGACCTGAGAAACCCAGTCCCAAGTTCTCCATGCAGCTTCCAGATGTGTTCAACCCTGTCCCCAAGATCACTCACCTGGGAGGAGATTTTTCCCCTACCAGTCTGGAGCTGGGGAAATGCTGACCTAAACTACAGCAAAAATTGCAGAGACAGAGGAAGAGCTCACTATAGTCAAGCCAAAAGCAAGATCCCAAGTGTAATACACAAAAATTGGGAATCTTTAGGAGGATACTTGAAGAACATGGTAGGTAAAGATTTATTTCCATTGCTGTTACTGTCTTCCCACCTATTTCTCCACAAGAAAGTGAAATGGAGGAAGAGATGAGTGACCTCACTGCTCACAGATCCAGCTGTACCAAAAGAGGTCTGGAAGTGGAATTCCAATATATTCCATTCGCTCAACAGGATTATAAGCCTGAAATAAAATCTGGATTTCTACGGGCAGACTGAGCAAGCTGTGGTAGGTGTGAGAGCAGAAGCATCCACTCAAACTCTGTTCTGACAGGACAGAAGGGAGGTCACTGCTCTTTGTCCTGTACTTGGCACTCACAGGAATTTCCCAGATAAAATACGAAAGTGAGGTGTGAGATCCCAAGGGATGAGCCTTTACCTGAACGAGGGTGGGATGTACTCTGGAGGCAGTGCAGGTGGCAGTGGCTGACCAGACATAGCTACATCAATGAGGTGCATAGCCAGGATAAACTCCTCAGCTGTCAGCTTCCCATCTTGATCAATGTCAGAAAGATTCCTTGTTAAAGGGAAGGACAAAGTAATTATTAAATATTAAAAATCTTCAAAGGCATTGCTTTAACATGTTAAGTTCCAWATTAATTCAWTTTTTTCATTTTTTTCCACACTACTCTGTTTTTCCAAAACAATGGAAAGCAAACCCCAAATGCTTCCCTATTCCCCCATTCTTCATGGCTGTCTGCCTTAAACCCAGCCTTGCAGCCATGGTTTCTCCTTCACCTGCTCTGCG